AGTGAATGAATTCCCCTTGGTGGAATAAAAAAAAATTACCTTCGATCTTGAATTGTCCGTTAATAAATACATTTCTTGAAGGGCAAAGCTAATAATTTGTAACACCATCTTCACTCAATGCTTGGTATATTGTAAATGAACTCTATAAATGGAACAGTCGCTTTTTTAAACTTGTAACTATCAACGGAAATCAGTGAAATGTATAAGATTTTGTGCTACCCAGTAATAGATGGGCGGACAGCACCTTTTCTTGAATTCTCCTAAGTTCTGTTTTATTATCACATAGTTAATATGGTGCTTTACTGTCAAGCAAACATACAACCTTATTACAATATAATCACATTTCCAAGTGCTGTGATTGACACTTTTCTTTTGTGTATTTATACTTAAAACCACTTGGTAGAGATGTACTGTATTCAAAGCTCTTGGTGTTAACTTATCTGTGAGACAGGTATGGAAGAGGTAGTAGATTTGAGCGTACTAGTAAAATAATTCTAACATGTGTGCTTCTGCAACCACCACAATCGTAAGCAAAATACAGAAAAACAGGTGCTTCTCAGGACGTCTATTATTTGCAGCCCGGTTCAGTCTCAGGCTTCATACATTTGTATTTTGCAACCAGAACCGACTCTTATCATGCAAAATATAAAGCATGTTTTCCTATTGTAACTTATTGATCAAGAGTAGACAGCTGTGTGATGCTCTGGAATGTAATGCAATAAATGCCATGCTATTTCAAATTGTTGCAGCTTTTACTCTAGCAACTCAATTGTTATACTGACCGCTGATATATTGTGTAGGTGTTGTTAATAGCTCTTTTATCCTCCAACATATATGCAGTACTGACCTTTTAAACCTTAAAGTACAATGCAATCTAAAGCAACTCTACAAACTACTCTCTCAAAAGTTTTTTAAGTCAACTTTCAACAAAAACTTTATTGCAGTTCTGCCTAACGGGTCACGTTACAACATAAAGGTTTTACTAATTTTTTAACACTTATTATAAAATATACCCCCCAGAATTCAACAATAATAGTAAAAATAATAATGCAGTTGAGAGATGAACTGATAAAAAAGAAAACACATCAAGCTTGCTTTTTGATTGTCCAGGCATATGTGAGTTTTCTGAGGATTTAGATCATCTGAGATGATATGTTGTAATTCAAAACAACAGGTTGATAATCATTAGAGTTGCAGACTTTGATTTTAATTAAGTTAGCATATGTTTACAACTTCAGTAGAACAAAGTTTTACCAGATTAAAAAAATACATTTTGAGTTTTGTGTTCTGTGCAAGTAACACATCATTTAATATACATTGTGCAAAACATAAAACACTAATCAACCCAAGCTTTGCCCGAAAACGTATCGTTGTTTTACTGTAGGGATGTTTACAACAGAACAGCACCATGGACACAACTGTGCTCCCAAGTAATCAGATTTTTACAAGTAGAAACACTTCCTCTTCCTCAAACTATTCTGACAAGATAGTATCAACAGATAATATATTGTAAAAATAATTATTTTTATTTTGATAGTGACACAAGTATGAACAACTAACCAAGTGTGCTTACTTTATTTTTTTTTTTTTGCATTTGACAGTAAATTAAATAGAATAATTTAAAGTATGGTGAGCGTTCTGTCTATTTCACATCATGCATCACTGGGTTATGCTATCAGTATAAGATAATACGAGTGTATGCATAAAAAATGTCTGTCCGTTGGTCAACAGCACCATAACCATTTCCTTCCCGCTATCCGTCTACGCTTACGTGGTTCACACCACTGTACGTGAGAAAGTGAGCTTGAGGCCTTACCTTTAACGGTTGTGTGAGCTGCCCGTGAAGTATTTCAGAGAAAACTTGTTGTCACAGCGTGGCAATAGGCAACTTACAGCACGAACTCTCTTGTGAGACTGTATCAAGCAATTAATGCGCGTATGAGAAGAGGGTGGGGGTTGCAATAGCTCGTCGCTTTCCCTCCTACCCTGCTCACCTCTTTCTTTGCGTCCTCCCGCCCTTTATGTGTTGTTTTCCTGTCTTAAACACCGACTGTCCACCTCTGTTGTCGCATGAAAAGTGTCGTGACTGCCCCCTTGATCTCGATCGTATTGTGGTATTGGTGGCATGCCCACACAGGGGTCTCCCCTATACAATTTTGCTGTCAATTCCGAACAGACATTTGTTATGTATTATGTGCTAAAACTAAATGAGATTATACCTTTAACCACCTTAAATTTGTAGATGCCACATGGTTATTTAATTCTTCGTGTAAATGCATTGTTAATGTCGTTACAGCATTTTGCTTTGTTGTTTGGTGGCCTGTAGCTGCATTATGGTGTGTTATTCAGTGTACACTTGCATGTTTTATTCACAGACTTTACATTTCAGACACTTAAATGTTGCCTCCTTTAGAAAAAGAACTTAAACTTGGCTGCAGTAGAAGTTGTAGTAGTATAGAAGCAGTATTGGAGATAGTCACGACACACATGCAAATTAGTTCTGTGTTCTACATGCATTCACAGTGACGCATAACTGAGAGCAGCAAACCAAAGTGACTGACTTTGTGAGTTTAAAAACATCTTTGTCACCTCAGATTCACAGAAAATACAGAAGTGCTTGTCACTTATCAGTGTAACTGGCGACACTGAGACTACGAGAGTCCACCCATTTGTTATCTGTTTGCTAATCTGCTTTTTGCACCACACTTTGCTCACTTGTTATAAGAACAAAATGACTTTATAATGGAAGTCATAGCACATGCTGCCATTTCTATATATAGACAGTAACATGTAGACAACTTTTTTGCTTCCTGTTGTGATGCGTCGAAGCCGACAATGTTTAATAAAAAACAAAAAACAAACATCAGAAACTCGTGTGGACACAGAAATGCTTTACAGTTGTCATATGGCCAAAAAGATGCTGTATGTCTCAACGTTTTATTGATATTTTATCTCATTAAGACGTCTTGTCGGTCTATCGCTCTGTGTCAGTGTGTCAGTGGGACGGAAAGGACTGTGACAGTCCTCTAGCCAAAGCTGAGAAGTACAGAATCTGGACATTTAAATTTAACATCATTTGTCATTACACAAAGCACAACAAAACTTTTAACGATATGGTTTGGAGCTGTCAATTTAGTTGGCTGACATTTGCAAATTATTTCATATGTTCAGTAAATGTTTACTGTTTAAAAGGTATATTCCTGTGTGAGTTCTTGTGTGCGAAATGTATTAAATGTTAAGCTTTACAAGTATTCAGTACCTTATTGAAAACAGTTGCTTCCTTTATGACAGGTTTTTACATATCCAGGATTTGAAATGTTTATTCGACACATCAGAAAGTGTAAAAAACAAATCCGTGTATGAACTCATCGGTTTTCTTTAAATGAACACGATCACTAAAAATGTAAATACAAGCATGTGTATTTTATTTACTATTTGACAGCTGCTTGTTTACGAATTTCATATATATTGGAGGGGCAGAACTTACTTTGCAAAACAATTTTTAGGCAACAATACACTGCTTCTTTGAGTTTCACATCCACTGTCAGCCATTTGTGTTGTAGCGCCATCTACTGGTGTTTTTAGGAACAAGAGCTGCTATTTAAAACCCACTTAAGCTGCCTCAGAGTACTGATATAATGACCAAGAGCAATGGATCTGTTTGTCTAAGCAGATGTTTTTATTACAAGGAAATAAATGTGAGATTTTAACAAAGAAACGCACCTAATCCAAGCTTTAGAAAGACTGAGAGACACAAGTTTTCCATCAGAAGATCCTCTAAGCTGCTAAATGTGATTCACATGCAACAGTAATTAATAATAATTCATCAGCCCTGACTGTGTTATCGAAGTTTGACAGTGGATGCCAGTGTATAGTAGGGCTGCAACTTACATTATTTTCATTGTGCATTAATCTGTTCATTATTATCTTAATAAATTAATTGTTTGGGCTACAAAATGTACAAAAAAAAGTCAATCCAAAAGCTCAAGATATCAGTTTCACAGTCAAATGAGTACAGAAACTATACAATATTCAGTTTGAGAGGAGATTAGAGAATTCTGACTTTTTCTTTTTTATAAAGTGACTAATTAATGATCAAAATAGTTGCCGATAAGTTTATTAATTAACAGCCGGGATGTGTACAGAAGAGAGATGTATGCAGAAGAATGAAAGCTTCTTGAGTTACCAGCTTTTTGTGCAGCCTGTTATTTGAATAAAGGCTCAAATTAGCATAAGTTTCAAGAATATATATAAAAAAGTTGGATTTTACGTGGGTTTACGGCATAGCTGAAAATGGAGGTATTGTTCTGGGATGACATTAAGAAGCCCACCTTCAAAATATAGCAGGCTTGTTTCCTGAACGTTGTTTGTTTGTTTGTTTGTTTGAATTAAAAAATGCGGGGATGTTGACGCAACAGACGTTTTTTTTTTTTAGTACCATGAAAAATACCCCACGTTTGTTTTTATTCTAGACCGCGAAACCCCTGTGGGCTTTCCGGATGCATGCATGCATTTAATTATTGTATTTTATTCCAGATTTTTTTTAAAAAAAACAGTTGAGCACGAAATAAAGGCGCGACCAGATGCAGCGGAGAATCGCATCTCGACGAGCTGGTGGCCTCAATAACCTTTAGTTTTCCATCGAATCAAGGTCTGCCGGGAAATCACGCTTTGGGGATAAAGGGGAATGCCAAGTCAACAAGCAGCCAGTTTCGTTGGTGCGATGTTTTTCACCACAGATAAACGGTGAAAAAGCACAAACAATGAATCCTCAACCTGCAAGTAATGTCACTTATACCCCTATTATACCACATGATTACCCACAAAGACCTGGAATGACTTCATTGTGTCTTTAACTGCAATTGCTAACAGTAATTAAAAATTTTAAAAAGGCAATAATAGGAGATGGAAATGATCTAGTTGTCTTAAATTAAATTGGTTTCGTGAGTTGCACGCGGTTTCATTCTAATGAAAACACTCTAAACCACAGGAAGTTAAACAGTAAGTGCGCCAAGTTTTATTGTCATGTTATCAGTCCATTTGATGTTTCTGAAAATATATTTACAGTGTGACACAATAAGAAATTCAAATAAGTTCCATGTCTGTTTGTTTGGCTGTTAAAAAGAATAAAATCTTCAAAGCAATAATTGCATTTCACATTACATGTAAAATATGACTGCAACATCACGTTAAGCTTGGCTTTTTTTTTTATTTTTTATTTTTTTAACCTCCCTCCGAATAAACTGCGTGACTGTCAGACTGTCCCGTGCGCATTAATCATCCTTTAGGATTGGGATGCATCCCGAGTTACGACAGTCCTGAGGGTACACTGCTGAACCGGCTCCTGAACCCCCTCTGAATGTGCGTCTCCACACCGAGATCCTGAGCCTGCCTCTCCGGTACGTGGAGGGACAGGCCGGGGTACACGGCCGGTGGAGCCAGGTAGGAGGACCGCCATGGTAGTAGGAGGTCATTACGCACTGCCGAGTGATTCAGGTGTGGAACCAGCCAGTTTTGAGGTGGGTAGGAGAGGGTGGAGGCATGGTGGGGTGCGTCAGGTGTGGGCAGTAAAGCTGGGAGGTATGAGGGAGGCTGCGAGGGTGCGTCGCTGGAGGACGCCTCTCGCTGGACATCCAGCTCTGCCTCCGCTGACCTTCCGCCCCCCAGAGCTTCTCTGAGAGAGAGCACACTGGCCCCAGAGAGGGGCTGTGTCCCACAATTGCGATGATTTGGGTGATTAAAACCACCTCTAGTTGAGCTAAAACATGGGAGCATGGTCTCAAACTGGTACATCGGTGCTTCTTGTTGTCTCATCCCCATAACTGAGGCTGAGCCGCTCATTCTGGCGCCCCAGAGTCCTGCCTGGAAGAGCGCAGGGGTGTGAGTGCGCATAGGCGATAAGGACAAAGTGGAGGCTATAGATGCGTGTGATGCTGCACAAGCAGAAGCAGCTTTGCTTTTTTCCATGCTCTGGCTGGTGCGATGCTGCAGGCTGAGCACCTGAGCCCGCAGCTGCGCGTTCTCCTCAGTCAGCGCCAGCAGCTGGCCCTCTATCATCAGGTCGCTCAGCCTCCTTTTCTCCCTGGACCGCTTGGCTGCCTCGTTGTTCTTGCGTCGCTTGTCCCAGTAATTGGCATCTTTTTTCTCTGCGGGGGTCATCTCTCTCTTGCGGCGCGTAGCGGGCTTTAGGTGGCCACGGCAGGCCCGTAGACGCACGAAGCGTCGGGTCAGCAGGGCGGTCCGTGTCACCGGGACGAGTGCGGGGTCTGGATCGGGCTCAACGCATCCGCTGCCCTCCACCCGGGAAGAGAGTTGACAAGGAGCGGCCGTCCGAGCACCGCTGGGGCTCCTCGGAGGGGACATTGCGCTAGTGGGGGCAATCAAAAGTTTCAGTACAACTTATCTAATCGTCTGTCTGTCTGTGAATCTATCTGTGGTTGTACGGGCGAAGTTTCATATGAGCGCATCTTACAGCGCTCTGTGGTTGACTACTTCTACTATCCGATTATACTTCTTCCATTGCGTAAAAGTTTGTCGTTTAACAGCACAGACGGCAATGAAGTCTGCCTTTCAAGTAGCGCGTATTTGTCTTCACATTTAATAGACACACGATTGCGATCAACATCGGGTAACTTTAGGTTATTAAGTGAGTAGAGGAAATTTTAGAATTTACGTTTTGTTTCCCACAAACAAAGTCGAGCCATCTGATTAGACGTTACAGTGTTGGACTGACCTGAGGTGAAGGGATGACACCTGAGGGATGATTTGGAAGACACAGTCAGCTCTGATCAGTCTGCTCTAACTCTGAAACACACACACACACACACACAGCAACGCACTGCTTTATCTGCATATCACTCAGACAAGTGGCTTAATTTCATGTATAAGTTTGCGGATGCTCGGAGAGGGCTGCGCTTACCTTAAAATCACAGACAGCGGTGCTGAAGAGAGCAGAGCCGCTGCGCTGCGCAAACATATACCGTATGTGCGCAGCCAATCGCGTCGTACCGCTCGAACTGTCACTTTAATGCTGTGGAAACTGATCAGCCAACTTCACTTGGAGAGAGGAAGTTCGAGAGAGCAGCGTGGCCACGACCAAACGAGCAGGTGATGGCTGACTGAAATGAGTCACTTTGGATCAGCTGCACCAGTTGAGCTTTTAAAGTCACTGCGCATCCATCTGCATGGATTGCAGAACAGTGCATAGGTAGTATTCAGTGAGCTTTAATTAAATATTCCATAGCAGATTTTTCACAGTTTTTTTTACCGTTGTGTTTTTTTGTTGGGGGCTTAACCTTAACCTTTTTCATCCTTTCGGGGATTTTTTTTTTTTTTTTAATATACCTGCAAGAAATCACACAAAACATATTTTCAGATTTGCAGAGATGTCTCCTTTCATTCAACATCATTTACATGGCTGCAGCATGGGAGCTCATTCTTCTATGGAGGAACTGTGGAAATTAAAACAAGAGGCCTCTTTTCAGAACTTTTTCCATTTCATTGAGGAAATGAATTCACTTGCCTTTACTTTTTACATCTCTGACTCCTCCTTCCATAAGCATTATAGCATACATCACTGCAAATGTCTCCCACATGTACATTTCCGGGTCGATTTTGGTTTAGCCACCTACCATCTAGTCACTGCGTGTGTCTGTTGCATTCTTGCTCTCCTGTGTTTGTTGAATTACACCAATCAGTGTGTAACTCTTGTTTAAACTACGTGTCATACTCGTGTCACTTTTGTATGTGATTTGAGACTCTAGCAAGAGTGAAAATAGTTTGCTGGTGCTTTGCTCAGTTAGTGAAAAATTAAAATCCTGCTTCATCCCTTTGGATGGTCCATCCATCCACTTGTCCAAACAACACTTATGAGAGAGTTTATGTTTGCTTTAAACGTGATGAGTTACTGCCAGCCTCACTTGTACTTTGTAATGGAAACATGTTGTGGTAAATGTCAGTATGTTATATGCAATGGAAAAAAACTACTTTCATTATTCACAAGTATCATCAATTTTAACTGTTAGTGTCTTTTTTCATAGTAGTTTTGTTATTCTAAACTTTTTATTTTGTAGCCTAATAGATTGGAGATTGTGGAGCAATGTAGTGAGTAAGAAAGGTGAATTGTGAGTTTGGCAAGCAAACTGTGTAATAAGTAGTCTCTGGGATTGTTTTGGACAAATATTGGTGCTGGAGTGAGGGAGAATTCTTCCCTCAGTCACTTCACACAACTTAAGGTACCATTGCTTGTGCGTGGTTATCTGTTGAAGTTTAGACTTTTACCATGTCAAAAATAATATTGAAATTTTAAAGTTATGACATGGTAAGAGTGACAGCATGACTTTTACAGAAACATCACCAGAGTCCTCATTCAGACAAGACGCTGGCATGTTCAGTAGTGGAGTGCATGTCTGAAAGAGGCTTAAAAGGCTAATAAGAAATGTGACCAGCTAAACCCTTTGTGCCCAATTAGTGATGAGTCTGTCAATTTTTCATCTGTCCAGCTATATTTTGTGATGTGTAATGAGTGTTAAAATCTCACAGAGTTGGCACTGAAATGTAGTGTATCATTTCTTTCAGCTGGCCCTGTATCATAAACTGTTTAATTCAGTTTTGTTTATATAGCGCCAATTCACAACACAAGTCATCTCAGGGAACTTCACACAGTTAGGTCAGACCTTACTATATTTTATTATAGAGAGAAACCCTTTAAACAAGCACTTTGGCAACAGTGGGAAGAAAAATCACTCTTACTCTTAACCGTTAGAAACCTTTGGAAGAACCAGACTTGGGGTCAGCTGCCATCTGCCTTGAGTGGTTGGGCTGAGGCACATGACATCGTCAAAACTACAGGGGAACTCTGATTTCTTGTCCAGTCATTGCAAGAGCTATTCGTCATCACTGGTCTAACCACTATGCCCACTGTTTAGTATTTTTCCACTTGCTACAGTGTGTAGCCTTGTCGCCTCACAGCACCAAAGGTCAGAGCTCCTGGTCCACCTTTCTGTATGGAGTTTGCGTGCATTCTGTGGGTGCTCCAGCTTTCTCCCACAAGTCCAAAGACAATGCATGGTAGGTTGATGTGTAAATATAAACTGACGTTGTCATAATCGTCTGCTCTATGGGTTAGCCCTGCCAGGGGGCACTCTGCCTTTCAGTCATTGTCAGCTGCAGTAGGCTCTAACCATGCATGACCCTCGACAAGATAAAGCAGGTGTAGCTGATGAAGTCCTAGAGCCACTTGCCACATCCACAACAGCCACCAAGTCTAGCGCATTTAGGAACCAAAGAAACTAAGAAAATCTGCATAACACATTTCAAGGAGGTCTTCATTTCGAGTCATCCTTTACCTCAACTGTCAGGGGGGGGATCAGGGATGAATCACTACTTGCACAAGGCAGAGACAAATAACAAGGTTATGTTGTCAGCGGAGAATGCCAGAAACACCAGCTGAAAGTCTGTCTTGGTTTTAAGATGTTAGCAAGTTCAGGACAGTAGAAGAAGCTCGGCCTTGATCTACTCCTGTCCTCTCCCCTCCTGTTCACTGTGTGTATCATCTCTGGTATTCTGATGAAAGACTGTGAAAACAGCCCCAAGTGGTGAAGACACCCAGGTTGAACAACACTACTAAACAATGTCATTGAAGTGGAAAACCACACTGCATTGTACAAGGTCGCACTTGTGCAGTTTGCGCTGAAGATTTCCTTGTGTGCTGAGTGTGGGGGCTGTCCAGATCAGGAGGGGGGTAGGGTGTCCAATCGACTCTGTGTTTGTTAGAAAACTCCAGCAGATTTTTCTTTCTGACTCACTGTAACCACACAGGCCACAGTCGGCCATGTTTTAACAGTCAGATTATTCTTTCTTCTAGAAGATAGTTTCTGGATTTTTGAAGAGAGCAACACAGCTGGTTACATTTATTCTCAATTAGTTTTGCGACTTTGAAAAGAGTCAAACTAAATAACACAAACACATATAAATGCACACAGACACACATATACACAGAGAGGTGTGCAGTGTCAACACCAGCTTATAGCAGTAACAGAAAGGCTCTAATGAGTGCTGCTGCATCCAAATAATAAATCGAAGGGTTCATTAATAAATGCAAAACAGAGATGTGTTTATATGGAAGTTATTCAGATTAAATGAAATGTGTTGCACATTAATGACTGAAGCTGCTTCTATACACTGAAAGTATTGTGGCATATCATAGTGGGCCTGCATAATTTGTAGCACTGCCACTTTCTCATTGTGCGGCAACACCCACATCCTGGTTGCATGTTGCAAATGCTTTCTTTATGTGGATGACTTATTTTGAGTAATATGTCCTGTTGGTCTTATGTAGTGGCCAGTCTCGTAAATACTTCCAAGATGTACATCTGATTAAACCCTGACCTCAGTTATATTTCTCTTGTTTTTTGAGGATTATCTGAAGAATCCCTTACTGCTTGTAGCTTTGCCTGTTGCCCAAAGTATGGATGGTGTGTGCCTTCATTACAAGCCTTTGTCAAAGGCCAGTGGTGATTCATGTTTTTCTTACTGCCAACAAATCCCATGAAAAGACCAAAACTAACAATGCTTAGTCTGTATCTAACATTTATATTTTTTATTAGAGTCAATACTTACTCACACAACCTGTCAGTTAAACACAGCCTCAAGCTCATGTGTTCCTCTTGAACAAATCACAAATTCGTAGTTTCATTTTTAAAGGATACATGAATTCTATATGCAGCTGGGTTTAGCAGTCAATACTAAAACCCTACTTTTATGTTCTTGCTGATGTCATTACTGATTTAATGTTTTTAACAAAGTGTGGGGGGTTGAATGTGCTAGTTTTAGTATTCAGTTGTTTTGTAATTCGTTTTCTTGGTAATTTAGCAAGGCCTTGTTGCGATAACTACTATACAATAGCCACTTACCTCTTAGTTGTAGGAGTCGGAGACGCCCTTGAGAGAAATGTGGGTCGACCTGAGCCAACTCTTCAGTTGATCGTTGGCCATTTTTGAGGGAGTAGTGGTTTGTCAGTTAAGAAAGAAAGATCTTGAGCTGTCTGTTGCTTTAGTCTTACACTAGCAATGACAACTCAGCACCTCTGAGTCTGTGTCATACGACTGTCTCAGTGTGTCTCAGCACTCTCACTTTCAATCAAAATAAACTTGAAATCCCATCTGTATCGTAATGAATGAACATTTCAGCCACTGAAAAAGTTTGACTGATGATTTTATTTTTTCAAATTTGTTTTTAAACAATACTTGCACAAAGAAAAAAACAATTTCAAGTGTTAGTTAAACCCATAGGCAACCATTTTCTCAATATATTTTTGAACAGAAAACATTTTGACTTTCAGCAACAGACCAACTAAATGCTTAATTTTACAAATATGTTTAAGAATGACAGTCAAAGCTGTTGTGAAAATGTTCCATGCAATGTCACACGAAAAAAACACTGTTCACTGTTTTGTTTCTGTTTGTTTCGTTTTTACCACAGGTTCTGTTTGTATTCTTTAGCTTTAGCACTGTCCAGTCCTGTTCAGTAGGACCAGATGCCAGCAGCTCTACTTACAGTCAAACTTGTCAGAACATTATTTCAGTGTTTTTCTGCAAAAAAACCACACTCTCTTACCAATGCTCTTTAAACCGCAGTTTAATCATTACTAACACGTTTCGTTGCACCCACACAATTCACTTCAACAGTGATACCAACAGGTGACTCATCACTGGGGGTTAGTCCAATCAGTTTGCTCCTGCAAGCTTTTGAAGTTGTTATGTCACCCCCACTCACAGACACACACACACACACTCCCACCAAACCTCCACCACCTCCCACCCCAGCAGTGTTCTACTTTCAAGAAGCCACCGTCTTTGTACTTTGTACTTCAGCCTCATGTTAACCTAGTTAACATCTATTTGTGTGTCATGTCAAACCCAATTTCTTCTGCAACCCTTTCAAGGGGGTCATTTGTGTGATTGTTGGGGTTGACATCTGCTGGCCTGATTCCTGCTCCTTAACTCACAGCTCCACTGCTAACCACTTTTTACAGGAAGTCGAGCCACAGCAAAAACGGAGTGTATCGCCTTCTCGTACTCAACTGCAGTGTGACTTTTGTACGGTGTCACGTGACAAACTTACAGTGGTAATACAGGCCCCTGAGAAATAGGAGGATTGTGTACCTTCCCACAGCACAGGGCTTTCTCACACTCACTGTACAGAAGACAAGTTGGTCTGACAACCATGTAGTGCTGAGATCCTGTGAGATCCTGTGAGATACAGCGTGAGATGAGATCACACATACTAACGTTTAACACGAAATGTAGTCTGTACTTTGGTAGTGTAATAAGTTGCAGAGAAGTATTGTGTCTGTTTTCCAGTTATAGTTTTCATCGTCAGTGTAGGATTTCCATATATTGGTATCTGTTATATCGTTAAAGTAGGTGTCGCCCTGAAATTACCCCTCACTGTGCTCATTATTGCATTGTTTGGTAGCAGTAAATCCCCCAGACAGCACAGTATTAGGTAATGTCGCGAAAGTATTTACAGGACAGTCGCATTTAGTAACACCATCAAGATTCCTATCAACAAATGACCGTCTGTTACGGTACATTTCTGAAATGAAGCATTAGGGTTACTGCAGCGTTCAAGCTTCTTCAGGTTTAGCAGTTTTTATATTTCCATTTTGTAATGAGCAAAATATGAGGAAGCTGAAATTGTCATCTTCTATATTTTTCTCACTGGCTGCTGATGTCACAGTATGACTAAATCGTAAGTAGATCTAATTTAGAAATGGGTTTTTTTCTTTGTTCTGCTAAGTGGCACGCTTATCAGTTGGTGAGTTCTAAGAATTTAAAAGGTGTTAAAATGAATTAGAAGTGTCACTAATGTTTACAGAACTTCGTTTCTTCTTTTTTTCAGCTGGCCAATAAGCTAGCTTGGGTAACGTGAGATTATGTGAAAATGTACAAATGTGTGACCAATTCAGTTTTTAGTTATGAGAATCTCAGATATTATGGCTTAAACTTTGAAGGTTTTACATCTCATAACCAGCATATTGTTACACCAACACAAGCAAATAGATATGTAATTATTATATTTTGAGCAGAATGTCCTATTGGGCTTGAATTTACTTGTATTACTTATATTTTAAGAGTTTGCGCTATTTAATTTTTGAAATACTGGCTATAATTTTTAATATCCAACCATTTTGAGATGCCAGGTTGATTTGCAATCCAAACCAGCAGGCTTAAAGGGCCGAATTTCCTTTGTGTACATGTTGTGAGGTTTGGCAACGGTTAAACTGTTGCGGTGGGAAAGTCTGGCCTGTTGATTGTCATTTGTTTGTGGGGACCTCAGAGCACCCATGCCACACCACTGGCGCATCACCCTAACCACTCTGCTGCACAGCCCAGCTGTAAAAATAGATAGGAAAGATCGCCCTAGATATGCACACGCAGTCACGTACAGTCAAGTATAAGACAGAACCATACGCACAACCTCAGGTGTTGATGTGTGGCCGTTGTGGGGACAGCCTCACTTAGGGAGGAGAAATGAGACAAAGAGATATGAAACCACAAATAGTACTTTTAACTGACATTGACTGTACATCAATTTAGTGGGTCGCTTTTGTTCAGAGCTGCCATTGTTAGAGATTCACCTTTTTTGACCTTCATCGCATGCTTAAAGTGCAGTGGGGGCTCACCTCCACCAGGTGGCATTAGACACATGAAGACAGCAGAATGCTTACTATGAAGGCCTGCAGTCAATGACATGAGGCTTTATCTAAAGTTAAGTATTAGTTTACATAGAATCAGTTATATGAAAAATACTTATATACATTAGCTTTTCTTTAAATCTTACAAGTGAGTCATATTCTAGTCCTTGAACACAAATATTTTAAATATTTTCATATAATACGTGAAATAAGGCGTATGAATGAAAAACAAATTTTTGGTTCAGTGTTTCATTTTAATCTAAAAGTTTATGAATTGTTGATTTGGCCAATCCTCACGTCACTTTTCACTTGGCCTGCAAAAACAGCTTTTGGTTACTTATTTTGCACCTGACCTGGCAAACATAAACCAGAGTGAAGACAAGGTTTAATTTATAATGGGTCGTTTTAAGCCCAGTTTTGATCACATCAAGGATGAACTTAAATTACTTTATATAGAGAAGGATTGGGTGAGAAACAAACCAAAAAGGTTGTGAGCCTTGTTCGTTTCTCTGGTTCCACATTCTTGTAAACTGATACTCCCACTGCTGCTACAGTGCAAAAGGCCCATTATCATACCAACACAAAGACTTTCTGGGACACTTAATTATATAGGTTAGCCAAAAAAAAAGAGAGAAAAAAAAATCACCCCATTTGCCTAAGCTCTTATTTCAGGCATTTTTACAGTTTAATGAAGCAGAAAATGAGATAAACAAACCTCTGGTGTGATCTTTGATATGCTTATACTGGCCCTGATGCTCCTCCTCCATTCTCCTTTCTTGCCTCAGGTAAGGTGCATGGGGACTACAGCCTGCGATGCCAGAGTCTTCACCTGGGAGAAGGAGAGAGGTGGAGCCAGGGTCATGTTGCACCACGATAACAGAGGATAATAAATGACACAGATTTGTGTTATGAAAAGCAGCTGAGGAATGTTTCTAAAAACAATCCTGCTAAACGCGAGCTGTGGTCAGTGGAGCTTCGTGACAGGTGGCTCTGCCATGGTACCTATTTACAAGTCGTTACCAAGGATTCAAGGATAATAGTAACCAACACTGCAGGTAAATTCATGACTTTTTCTGAATCATGTGTGTTATTCATATGACAAAAGATGTTGCTATTCACAGCTTGATAAACAAGATTCATGCAGGCCGGTTTAGGATCCTCTGAGGCTTCACTCTGTTAATTTGTCGACAAGTGTTGCTCAGCTATTATTGTCTCCTTCCATTAGTGCTACCCACTTTATCATGGAGAGGGTTGCGCTGTAAAATACAGCATGACTTGCGCTGTAGCTGTGTTGTTCCTGTGCTGATGAATCTCTTATGAGTTTGTTATGGAAACTTGCAGGTTTGATGCAAATGTTTGCATCTGGGAAGCCTCGGGTCTCTCGTCAAGGTTGCTCATTCAGCTTCCATCAAAGGTTCAGCGAGAAGAGTTGGTAAGTTTCTCAGTATTTCATCATATAGGAGACAAGCCCAGAGTTGCCTTCACTTCACCTTCGTAACATTTTGTTTTTGTCATAGAGTAGATTATAGACGACTGATCAGCAGCAGTGATTTATTACCTTCTGTCTTTTTTTGCTATGGTAGAGGTAAGCATGGCAACACAGTGTAATAAGTTACAAGACAGATAAAGTATTGTTGGTAGGGGGACATGAGCAGCCACCTCATTGTGTTTTCTGCTTCGTTTAGCATAACTCTGAACATCTGAGTCTGCATAGCACCATGGTCAAGGAGAGTTTTAAATCTGGTATGTCTTTTTTGAGCTCCCTACTTTATTTTCCTTGTTTTTCACCTGCTAAACTGTGTTACACGCTATGTTGTGGATAAATCTCAGTGTAAATCTCAGTGTATGTTGCATCCTTCACACCTGGATTTAATTGTTTTCCTACAGGGCATTATGTTTCCTCAGCAGATGCTATTAGACTAATTTTTGCCTTCTTGAGGCTCTAACTAAGAATCCCTTCGAGAGTTGGTTATCAGCAGTATACTACAGACGCTTTCACATAAACATTCACATTTTTTCATCTGTTGTCTTCTGATGGAAGTTCTACATAAAGTCATTGCATGGAAACGGTCTCTAAGACCTAAGTGTCTGTCTAACAGGCCTCACATGGGAGGTGAAGGCTAACAGCCGCAAACACAAACAGAAGAAATCCTTCCTGTGTTTGCACTGGGGGAGATACGCGGTGAGTCCATCACACATTTACTTCCACAAGGTCATGTGACATCTGTTGGCATGCAAAGAGATACAAGCTAATGTGTAGAAATGTGTACTTATGTCCCTCTCTCTTACTCTCTGCCGCTCTCTGGTTGCCAGGACAATGTGGTGCGCAGCTACAAGTACTCCCCCCTGACTTTTCTGCCCCTGACGCTCTTCGAACAGTTCCAGCGCGCAGCCAATCTCTACTTCCTCCTCATGGTGGTGATGCAGGTCGGCTGAAGGCTCTGCTGTTCTCTTTCACTCTTTTCACGTTTTAAATTTTTAAATAAATCTTACTTAGTTTTAGGTGCTTTTATGGGCTCAACTTGAGTCATTTTGACAATATTTATGCATAGCCATGGTGGCTGTCTGGAAGAGGAAAACAAATAAAAAGTAGGATCTTCCCACAAGAGACATGTTTATTTTTCAAGATGATATACATGTCCTGTTCTTTTACATTGCATCCTGTGTCTCTGGAGGTATTTGAGACATAATCTGTTGAGAAATTGACTGTCAGTATTTTTTATCTGTATAAGTGAGGGTAGACAAATTATGTTGCACGTTTAGTATAGCTTTGCAAAACAAAATACCTCAAGATGCGCTTACAAGCTTTCAACCTGTGTTTTGGCTCTTTTTGCATAGTACTTATGCAAATAGTTTGTGTGGTGCATAACATTGATGCAGTAGATGTGACTGTTTCCCTTTCCCTCTCTGCGTCGTCTCCAGTGTGTCCCTGCCATCTCATCCATACCGTGGTACATCACCATCATACCGCTGACCACCGTACTCACTGTGAGAGGCCTGAAAGACCTCAGCAACGACATGGTGAGACTGGCTCGTGCGGTGATTTTGGGTGCTATAATATCTCTGAGTTGCATGTACCTGCTCACACACGCATGCATGAGCTTCAACACAAATATATGACGGGTTTTGCGCCTACTTTTATGCTCTTGACACTTAAGCATGTACGCACTCTTTTCTCTCCTTCATTGTCCTCATTGACTCCTTGTCCTCTTCTCATTGACAAAACCAGTCATCCCAGTAGCATTAATTTTCTCCCCTATCATTAAAGCTTTTCCTTTTAAATGCAGGCGTGATGTTTTGCATGGAGAATTCTCTGGTTAAGTGCATCACTGAGTTACGGTCGTTAACAGCTCTGGGTGAAACGCTTGCTTGACCCCTCTCTATTGACTAATCATTTAGTGGAGGGTGTAAATCTCCCAGCTGGTGTCACTGTAGAGCCCCGTAATGGCATTTCTCCTTTCTCTTTTCTCCTGTTCAACCTTTCACGGCCACCCTCACTCCCTCTCACAGGCTTCCTGTCCATCACTCTTACCCTCCATCCTTGTCATGCTTCTCAACCTACCTCTTATCTTTTCTCTCATTCTCGTTTTCCCCTCTTTCCGTCTGTCTCCATCCTTCTCTCCATCTCTGGTCCAGGCAAGAAGACGTTCTGACTCTCAAATTAACTCCCGACCCTGTGACGTACTCATCTCCCAGAGGTGAGGACAAAGACAGTGGGTTATTCTCTTAGGAGTCAGCAAAGCTCCACTTCGAAACAGCCCTCTAATGAATCTCTAATGAAGTGTGAATGAGTGAATCCCTGGATGGTCCCTTTGTGCATTAAAGCAGTGCAAAAACACAGAGCATTTTCCTCACCTGTCAGAAGACAAGAACTATGACCAATCTCTTGATGACGTTTTCTCTTATTTTTAGAGGTGTTTTTTCTTCAGTCTGTTTCTGCTGATGTTCCATATCGAATGTTCTGCCTCCCTCGTTGACTTCTAGACATTTTTTTTTACCATTGAAAATTTTGTTTTAGTTAAATGCCTCATCAGACATTTACTACAATACAAATTACTGCTCTATTCAAATAAATATTTAGAAAGTTTACTTATAGATTGGAAATTGGCACTTTTGTGTTTCAATTCAAACTGTAAGTCAGTTTTGATAAAAGGTTTGTTATCAAAAGGCAATCCTTTGGTAAATTCTTGTCAGTTTTTTAGTAGTGAATTTTGTTTAGATTTTGATTACTGATAGTGTTTTATCTCTCTACTCTTTCTTTTGATCTATTAAAAACAAATTGGTTGAGTTTGTCAGAGAAATTATATGAAAATTGATTTTTTTTTTCCACCTCCAAATGTTCATTCCTCATCTGTCCTCTGTCTCAGTTTCAACACAGTACAGTGGAAAGATTTGTGTGTGGGAGATGTGCTGCGGATCCATAAAGACCAAGTCATCCCTGTGAGTTTCTCAATTCATAAAACATAGAAATTAGCAGCAGTCTTTTCCAAAAAAATGTCTGATTTGTCAGTGTTTCTTTGGTACGGTAAGACTGCATGTTTTTAACCTACAGTAGAGACAGCTGTAAATAAAAATAGTAGTAATAGTAACAACATTTGCTTAAAATCCATGGATCCATTTGTGCAGTAACTTTTTATTTGATCCCTCTATATTCTGTCTTTTTGTCCAGGCGGATCTTCTCCTTCTGTGTAGTTCAGAACCTCACAGTCTGTGTTACGTAGAGACGGCTGATATTGATGGGTAAGCAACGTAGTGGACATAATCAATCTGATGACGCCTTCTAATACCTCTTTGTAATTTTATAAAGATAAATTACTTATTTGAAATGCGTGCACTTGATGATTTTTGTAGTAGTAGCTGTAGTGCTTTTTTTTTCTTCTTTACATTCTATTAAAACAAGTCAAAACAATATGGTACTACAACATTAGAAATACAAATGCGCAACCAAATAATGATAGGCATTGCAAATAGCACAGACTGCAACAGAAATGTTTCCAGGGGCCACTTAAAAGGATGAATGTGTCTGGGACATGCTTGTTGTTGCCATGGTGGCTCTTGAAAATACGGAAGTCAACAGTCCATTAGTTGTGTTGGAAAATAAACTAACATTTTAGATAGGCACAAATTAAAGATGCAAAGTAACCTTTACATCGATTGTATGACGCAATAAGCTCTAACTAATTTCTCCTGTACTAAACAATATGTACATTTCTTTGTTGAACTTGTGAGCCAAAGCAATTACGACTGAGTAACTGTGCTTATGCATGCTATCTATATATTGTCATAACGTCTTAACTAACATTATTTCTGGTGGATGAATCAACTCTTCAGTGCTAACTATAACCTTTTTTTTTTCCCCCTTCATACAGTGAAACCAACCTTAAATACCGACAGGCGCTCAGTGCTACACACAATGAGTTGACCTCTCACCCCTCAGAGGAGGCCCTTAGTGCCTTTGATGGTGAATAAATGTTTTTTTTTTTTCATAAAAATGCAGTTTACTGCTACAAAACAATGCAATAAAAACTGCTCCTTTAAAAGTAGAGTAAGAAGTAAAGTGGTAAAGTTACTATGAAACTGCATACTTGTCCTAAGTAAAAGCAAATGTAACCTCTCATTTTTACAGGTGTTGTACTCTGCGAGGAACCCAACAACCGCCTGTACAGCTTCAGAGGTCAGCTGCAGTGGAGGGGAAAGTGTCTTCTCCTGGACAGCGAGCACATCCTCCTGAGGGGAACAGTCCTACGCAACACAGACTTTGCCTACGGCTTGGCCATATACACTGGTACTGGCAGAAGAATGTATTCAGTTTCGAGAAACGGATATGACCATGAATTTCATGATTGCAGTTTTTATTTATAAAATGAGTACTAGCTACTTTAAAACTAGTCTGCTTCGTCTAAAGATGACATTGATGCAGAAAGGATAAAGAATAGCTCTTATGTGTGGCACAGTGGCTCACAAAGAGAAAACTATTACAAAATGTTCCCAGACCACGTATCCTCATGACACCTTGCACTGTGGCCTCCACTAGCTTCAATGACAAATTTTATTATGTGAAATACAGTCTACTGCTAATTATGGCACTAAGTACTTAACTCCTAAATGCGGGTGCGTTAACGTATAGGCTCCTCCTGTCTTTTAAGTGATCATTGATCGGATATAACCGGACCAGGCAGAGGTGCCACGGATCTGAAAGCTATGACCCTTTCAGTTCTGATGAAGCAGATCAATAGATCAAATTCTTGCAGAGATGAGTGTTATACCATTTATCAGAAACTGTCTATTGGTGTGACCCCAGTTCAGCCAGATTATAACTCTAACCAACCTCCTACTTGACGTGGCCTACTTTAAATTAAGCAGGATCAAAGTTGACATATATTGCTGTTGTTGGGCTAAGTTTGAGTCGGTTTTCTGCCCTTGAACTATTTGTCATTTTTACACATGAAGTTCACCGTCTTTCAACAGTCTATGTGAGATTGAGACAACATCACCGGAAAACATAATGTGATACTTTATTGATCCCTGCAAGGAAAATTCTCTCTTCCCCTGACCTCTCCGCACCGGGGTCAGACAGCCCCGGAGCTGGTAGGGATTCAGCATCTTGCTCAAGGGCACATCAGCAGAAGCTTGCTGACATGAGGGCTTGAACTCTCACCCTCTGGCTGCAGGATGATCCTCTGACTCACTTGGCCTGGCCGCTGCAGCGATAGCATCTAATAGTTGTCTGTTTTATGCCAGGCGCGGACACTAAGATCCTGAGAAACTGCGGGAAACTGAAAGTGAAGACGACTCAAACAGAAAAAGTTTTCAACCAAGTGGTGATCGGGGTGAGTGGGTAAAGGGCAGGGGGATGACAAACACGAGGCATCTTGTGGAGTTGTTCTAAACTGTGTGTCTATATTCTGGATTTCTAGATAGTCCTGTCCGTGCTGCTAGCAGCTCTGCTTCTTGCCATTGGCAGTGGCGTGTTTTCGAGTCAGGTCATGAGCCAGACAGGGGTGCCGTCTGCTCTGGTGGTTAACGGCAATCCAGTCTACACCGGATTCCTCATCTACTGGAGCTACATCATCCTTCTCAGCCCAGCTATGCCCATAGCACTCTATATCTCGTCAGTTCCACCTACAATACTGCGATCGTTTGTGGGCGGGCAGGAAGGTGGAAATACACGTGACTGTTTGTGTGCTCTGTGCATGTGTGTCTGCAGGTTTGAGATGATCCACACGGTCCACAGCCTGTTTATTGGCTGGGATTTGGAGATGTATTGGCAGCCGGCAGACAGACCGGCCCAGGCCAGGAATACGTCTCTGAATGAGGAGCTTGGCCAAGTGGGGTACCTGCTGAGTGACAAAACTGGGACACTAACCCAGAATCGTCTGCTCTTCAGGCAGTGCTGCATAGCTGGGGAGATTTATGGTAACAACAATGAGGGAGTTATGTCATTATAGATTAACAAAACTGTCTCATTACCTGGTAAATGTCTGTCTCTATCAGAGGCTACATGTTTTAAGTTTCGAGTGCAAAAGAAACAGCACCATGATGCTGATATGTGAAAGTGTCTTTGTGCTCATGCTACATCAGTAGGTAGAAATAATATAATGTTCTTAAAATGCCTCCCTGCAACTTTAATTGTATCTGTGCAGGCATATCAGGAAGTGGTCATTTTGTCAACAATGTCAAGACAAGCAATATAATGATGACTGCTCTTGTTTAGTAGAAATCTTTATGTTTCAGACTCATTGGATGACTTTGCTTACTTTAGTTGAAATAATTGTTTTAAAATATAGTCACAAAGTAGGAAGCTGCAGAAGAGTTGTGATGTAAAAAATATGAAAGGGTCGATGCTTAGAAGTTTCCATCAAATTATGGATCATTTATCATGACTATGAAGTAAACATGTGAAAACACTAAATCATTTTCCTCTTTTCAGTGTGACACAACAGTGGCAGCAATAAGACAATTTTTACGTTTTGTGTTCCTTTACCAGTGATTGCTTTGCAACTGAGTGCCCAGTTTGTGCCCAAGACTGTGTGAATTTACAAGACCGTATCACAAAGAAAGAAAATTACTGTCATTTATGTAACAGGGTTTGCTAAAGACCAGAAAGCAAAGTTTCCTTGTAGACTGACAGTGGAACAAATATTGCTCTGTTGAGACAATCTCATAAATCCCTTGAATAATTCTCAAGAGAGACAACCGGAGACACTTGACGTGCTCATATGCAATGGCCATGTGGCCATCTGCTAAATATATAAACTATATGTATGATAAACTATATGTTGTTTGTCTTAGCCATTTCCTGACTGTTGATGTCTTTCTTTCTTTCTTTCTTTCTTTCTTTCTTTCTTTCTTTCTTTCTTTCTTTCTTTCAAAAAGTACTTGTGTGTATGATTCAAATGCTTTTTGCACCTCATTAAATATAGTATTTTCTCTCATAGGTGATTCATCAGTCCGGGCAGAGGACGTAGAGGTACCGTATTAACACCTTTATCCACATCTTTGAACTGTGTTTTGCTATTTTTTGCCTTGTATGTTTCCAACCTCATCACTCTGTATTCTGTAATCTTCTTTCTCATTAGACACCAGGTCATATCTTTACACGCTGACATTTTGCCTACCATCTTTTTCCCTTTCTGCAGCCCATGGAGTTAAGCTGGAATCCGTTCTCCTGCGGTGGTTTGTTCATGTCAGCTCCCGGCCTTGTGGAGAAACTCAGAGGACAGCAGTGTCCACTCAGCAAACAGTTCCTCACTGCACTGGCTTTATGTCATACTGTCATGGCAGAGTGGAAGGACGGTGAGGTTTTGTGTGTACATCAGTGTTTTTTGTGATTAATAGGGGTTTTTCTCCAAGTGATAAAAGTGCCAAACCTCCGGCAACAGCTGACTTCAGGTCTGATATTTAGTGAAATGTGATTAATTGTGTTTTTGTTTTATTTGGACTCTTGCTACAAATTAAGGTCTAAATTCTGTAATTCACGAGCATATTGTCAAGCAAAAGAAAGATGTCTTTTTTGTTATTTTCCAACCTCTAAATCACGGGTCTGAATCTGAAATAATAACATGACATCAGCAAGTGACTGGCACAATGGTCCATTCCTGGAAGACAACATGTTTACGTCCGCTTCGTGCAATCATGGCATTCCTCCAGAGACTCCGGTTTACCAAGCTGCATCCCCAGATGAGGAGGCTCTTGTTGGTGCTGCCAGGGAACTTGGCTGGGCTTTTCTTTCCAGGACCAGAGATTTTCTCGTTGTCTCCGAACTGGGTGTCACTCGCCAGTATCAGCTGCTAGCTCTGCTGGACTTTACCAGCAAGAGGAGACGCATGTCTGTGCTGGGTGAGAGTATAACACACACTCGTATAATTTCTTTTCTTTTCTCTTTGGTTTCATTCCGACTCATTACTTGGCCTCAACTAAAACAATCTCTTCATCATCTTTTATAAGTCTCTTCGTCATCTTTTATAAATCCACTTATATCCATACTGGATGTGCTTTTTCTTTTAGTGCGAGAGCCCGAGGGTGGGTTAAAACTGTACTGTAAAGGGGCGGATATAGTGATCCTAGAGAGACTGCAGAAGGACTGTCCATATCAGGAAAGAATTGAAAGAGCCCTGGAGGTGAAGTACTGTACTTAACTTTTGGACAGACCCAGGCTAGCTCTTACTCTTGTTTTAGGTCATTATGCTAAGCTTTTGCTCTAACTAACAGTTATCAGTCCAATACTGTAAAGTTGTTTATAGACTCTCTTCTTTGTCGTTTTGGTGTGTATAAGTCATGGACTCGATGTACAATATCTTCTATTATCAATTGTCTGATTATCAAAGATTGTACACACTAGTAGTTAAAGATCTATAAAAAGTTCTTGACCACTGATCAGTAGGGTTTTTAAGAAAGAGTTATCAGTTATCAGCTGAGGCATCCCTGCCATGACCTAAATGTTTATTTGGTGTGTTTTCTTACGATCATTCAGTTTTGCCCTAAAGATAGCTCGGTAAATAATGTGCAGCCTCTCAAAAACCATGTTAACTTATCTTCTGTCAGTTGTTTGCTGAGGCCTGTCTGAGGACACTGTGTGTTGCGGTTCGATCTGTTCCTGAGGCATCATGGGAGCAGTGGAGTCAAACTCTTGCAGAGTCTGCTGCCATGACGACCTGTGACCGTGACGCACTGCTGGAAAAGCTATATGATCAGATGGAGAGAGACCTGCAGGTGGGCTCTTTCTCACTGTGATATTACATGTTTAGTGTCAATCCATAATATAAAGTGGTGTTGCTGATCAGTGACACAGTGTGACCAATACTTGTAGCTCTTTAAATCGAGCTTGTACTTAAAGGTTTGATATGTGTCGAGCACAGTGTAGACCTTTAAGAAAACAGGCATCTTTGTTACATCTTGTGCATTTTTTTCTTGTTATGAGTTTTAACTTCACTTATATCATGTAATAATCGGCATACTACTATATAGTAAAGTGAGTAATGTGAATGCTAAAATGAAATACTGTTGTAGCTTCTGGGGGTGACAGCGATAGAGGATCGACTACAGGAGGGCGTTCCTGAGACTATTGCTCTTCTTCAAGAAGCTGGGCTCAAAGTATGGGTACTGACTGGAGACAAAAAAGGTATTGTGATCTGCTGTCGCAGGAGGGGTTGGCACGATTTTGAATGCTGTGCTGCAACTACCTAGAAACAGAATATCACTGTGATTTGTGTGTTTTTTCTCACTGATACCTGCCCCGTCTGTCCTTGTGCTTATAGAGACTGCAGTAAATATTGGATATTCTTGCAAACTGCTGGATCCTGATACAAGATTACTGGAATGGCAGGAGCTGAGGTTGGCAATGATAAAAATAAACAAACACACACAAACAGACACATGCACACACTCACACCATCCCATTGATCTTTGTTTGTTTGCCCCTGCAGACAGATACTCCAGTCCCCAGACCCACAGGTCAGTTTCTTCAAGGCCAGACAGACAGAGCTGTGGGCTGCAGACAAGGAGATGGCTGGTGCAAAGACTTCTGTGGTCCTCACTGGGCCAGAGTTGGTAAACACCACCCTGCACAGTTAATAGACAACTTATAAAGTTTTAAAAATGGACGTATAACCCTATTCATATAATTTGCCCGCAATTCAGTTTCATGAAAAGTTGTGTTGTTTATATCAGAAACACGGAGAGGTCAGTGGAAAGCAGAAATGTAAGCCTCTACTGTTCATGTTTTAATAAGGTGCTGGACATAAATTTCCATAAATACAAGTTTTTAGGCAGCAAAGTTTTTTTTCCCGAGAAATATTTACTGACAGAAGATGCCTTAAAGGGCCTGGAGACCTAATTTCGTATCTTTTTGTTTACAGCAGCAGGGTGACCATACATTTTTTTTTCTGCAAAGTTGGAAAAGGTTTGGGTGTCTGACATGAGAAAATTTGGTCACTGTTGTCCACTAGTTCTTGTTTTAAAGTAAGTGAAACTGCCATTGACTGTACAGTGTATAAAGATGGATTAACCCTCCATGACATCAACTATAAGTTTCCAGAACTTCAGTTGTAAAGCTCCACCACACTCCCATCTTATAGTATTGTACTTAAAGAACTATGAAGATTATCCATTAAAACACATAACTTTAAGCCTTTTAGTTTAAATGTGTGGGTTATATAGAGATTCACCGCCATACATAGGAACATTAGCTATGGATACCAGAACCATTTTTGGACCAGGCTGTAAACTTGTTTACTTCTCTTGTGATTGGGCATTTTACCCTAGGGGGTCTAAGGGGATTGACTCGCATCTGGAGCCAGCCTCAGGTGGAACCACAGTTTTTAGCTACTTGGGCTCTGTGGGCAAACAGTGATGTCACATACTTTTCCACACCAGTCTCGATTTGACTCAAAATCTGATGACAGTTGTCGGGTTGTTTACCTTTAAATGCTGGCAGTTCACTAGCAAGCTAATTAAACTACACCCACACAGCCGAGATGGAACAGATTAGTTGCATTTTTGAGTTTTAAACTCAATAAGTCTAACCTTTAACTAAGGGTTTAAAACAAGACTGCTGAGTGTCTGGGAGGTGAATGTTTACAGAAATGCAGGTCACATCCTCTCTCTTCTTGTTTCCTGTCTGCCTGTGTTACTACAGACTGATCAATAACAATGAAAATGCCAGAAAAAGACATCTACCATAAATTGTTAAAGAGGTTGTCAAACCCATAAGCAAAGATGGCAGCTCCTCCAGATGTCTGTTAAGGTTGCTCAGCAGCTAAACTGAGTTTTTTGATGGTGTTTTACCTTAGGCAGAGTTTGACCAGAGACCAGAATGGGGGGCCACATTCATGCGCCTGGCAGAACAGTGTCAGTCGGTGCTGTGCTGCCGTGTAACACCTGCACAGAAGTCTGAAATCGTCAAGCTGGTCAGGAAGCACACCGGCTCGATCACCATGTCCATCGGAGACGGCGCCAATGATGTAAACATGATTAAGAGTGAGTATGGTGAAATGAAAAGATGAAAATTTGTTGTTGTAAAATGTAAACAAAATGTGTGTTCTGATTTCTGTGTTCATGTTTTCACGTTTTTCTTGTTGAACTGTGTTGTCCGTCCACAACACCAGCGGCTCATGTTGGTGTGGGACTGGCAGGAGTGGAGGGAGGTCAGGCGGTGCAGAATGCAGACTTTGCATTGTCCCAATTCAGGTTTCTGCAGAGGCTGCTGCTGGTCCACGGCCGCTGGTCCTATCGCCGCATTTCCAACTTCCTGCGTTATTTTCTGTTTAAGACCTGCAGTTTTGCTCTTGTGCATATATGGTTTGGTATCTTCAATGGCTTCAGTGCTCAGGTTAGAAACACACTGATTACATTACATACGTTAATTCATAAGGTCACATTATAAACTGAAGTTGGAGAAAACGCTCTGCATTATTCCACTGTCTATTTCTCTCACAGTCACTGTATGAGACATGGTTCATTGCGTTGTACACAGTCAGCTACACAGCGTTCCCAACTATGTGCTTGGCCATTTTTGAACAGGTCAGACTGAGGTTTTTATTAACTGCATTATCTGATAAAAGATGAATTTCACAATAGTAAAAGCTGCCTCTTTGTGTCTTAGGATGTGAGTGCAGAAAGCAGCCTGAAATTTCCTGAGCTGTACAAGTGTGGACCGAGACAGGAGCTCTCCAACCCTTTAATGTTGTCCTTGTCGCTCCTGCAAGCTGTCTACTCATCCCTTGTCCTCTTCTTCATCCCGTTTGGAGTTTTCTACGACACAGCCGTTGATTTCCAGACCATGGCAGTCACTGTCGCTATGGCAGCTACGTTTGCTGCCACGATTGAGGTCAGGATCATCTTTTTTTGTAGATGCAAGTGACCTTCAGTGAGTTGCAATCGCAGCTCAAAATCTGATTAGGAGCGCAACATATTTAACAGATATTGTGATAGTGATAGTGACATGTGAGAGGGGAGGAAAAGAGGAATGTTAGAAAGGATTATTATGAAAAGACATTGAACTATTAGTGTAATTTTGCATTGTCTAAATCTTTGAAAACATAAACATTTTCTCATAATTTTACATTTAAATTGATCATATTCAGAGTAAGGAGCTTCATTTACTAGTGAGTTCTTTTAGAAATCACGAAATCTACGAATGCAAACTGCAGTTTATGATGACAAATGTATTCAATCATTACATAATATTTCATTGCTTAATTCTGTGGTTAGGTTCTTCGATAAATTGACTGTTTGCTGTGAACTCGTCAGAGAAAAGATTGGGGTTTTTTTTCATTTTAAGAGGACAAATTTTGGTAGATGCTATAAAATACCTTTACTTTTATTACTCTTTGTACTGTAGTGTTGTGAACTGTGGAGCCGACAGTAAGTTTGATTCTAGTATGTTCTGTGTGTTCTGTTTTATTCAGTTCTAATCTGTTGTGCTGAGCTATTCTATTCTAAAAGAAAAAAAAAACAATCATGTTGAAACAAATGTTTTTTTAAGTGTTGCTTACTAAGATTTGCTGTTCTGTGTATCCAGATGTCCTATTTTCCCCTAATTACAATGTTTCTATTTGTCAGATTGTGCGGCTGACCAGGTTCTGGACAAAGTTCAGCATAGCGGCTCTGTGTGTCTCTGTGTCGATGTTGTTCATCTGTACGAGGCTGTGCCACAGCGCTCGCCTTTTTCAGAGTTCACCCGTTGACTATGTCTTTATTGGTACTATTCTACTTCATTCATTGCAGACCTGTTCTTAATTCACTTGTTGGTTTGAGTTTCAACTTTCCATTTTGATTCAAATAGAGACAAATAATATCAAATGCAGACAAAAACATACAATTACACAACATGAACTATCTATTTTAGTGGCTTTCTATTGTTTTCTGTACACCTTGAAGAAATGAAAGGTCTGTCACCTTTCCTGCAGACAGGTTTGATTGCTTTGTATGCTCTTTTCATCAGGAGTCTCTGATAAAGCCTTCATTGATCCAGTTGTGTGGCTCACAGCTCTGCTCACCGCCTGGACAGCTGTTTTACCCTCAGTGACTGCTCAAGCTCTCAATGTGATTCTCACAGCTCATGACAAACACAAGGTGAGGCATCTGCAAGTTTTTTTGGCATGTGAGAGTACAAAAAAAAAAAGGGATTTGTAGTGTGAATGGTACTCTGACTCATCGTATGTAGGATGTTGATGTAAGCTTGCCATTAGCTTCGTGTTTAATGTGGCTTTTTCTTCCCCTTCTGCCATCTACGTGTTTTCAAAATCCCCTTTACTGCAGGAAGTAGCAACCCACTACTGAAAATTTCAAGTTTTGCCAAAGGTTTCATCATGCAATAAGGCAGCCATGCTGGTTTTTTCCCCCCCTGAATTGTCCATTTTAACGACGGTGCGTGCTTTCCTGCATGCAAATGTTCCACTAAAAATAATTCCCCCATCCCTTTTTTGAGGGAACATCCCTCCTGCATTCTGGACTTCGCGCTGGCCAAGACGATGACAACAAGGTGCCGTAGACTATTCTGCACAGCCCTGTGACAGGGCTTGAAAATGTCCCGGTTAATGTTACACAGGATGAGTTAAAACGAGACCACGAGATTAAGAGGTGCAGTATCTATTTATAGAGCAAGAGTTCTCAAAATCTAAAGCTGCAAATGTGTTGTACACCCCTGGCTTTTATAAATGACAAATTAGTTCAAACACAAAAGGGGATTACTCTTGACGAGCTGCATTTGTCATGATCAACACCTCTCTCCCCATTTCCTGATAACATTGCTAAAGCCGATTTAAAAAAAAAAACAAAGAAAAGAAGCAGTCTATATAATCAATACATACAGTAGATCGTGATGAGGCACCTAAGCACACAGAACAGTAGTACTTGTAGTTTCCATTTCCACATGTCCCTACAGTTCCGTATGTCAAACAGCCGGCATCAGCCAGAAAAAGTCCCATCAGTTACCAGTTATTTTAAAATGTTACTCTCAGTGATAACTCTCGAGTTGCTGCTATGTTCTAAAAGAGATTTTTAGAGCTCAGATAATCATAGGCCTTCTGCTCAGCCATCAAACGTTTTACCATAAAGTATGGATATTTAAAATGGCATCAGTGAAATTTTAGATTGATGCATCAAATCATTTCTGAGATTTTTTTTATTTTTTAGTTCCCGCTGACTTAATTTTAAATGTGTTTTTTTGCACATTCATTTTTGACGGTATAATCAAATGACAATATCTCGGGAGCTACTGAACATAACAGCCAGAGATTATTACTGTGTTTCTTAGCATGTTTAGGTTTAGACTCTGCGAGTGACTGAAAACGGTATGTCTGCATTCATAAATTATTTTACTTATGTATTTTGAGAACCATTTTGAAACTGCAGAATTCTCTTTGGATGAGACTATTGAGTGATTTTTGTTTTTTCACTTTTGTGGTGCAACTTGTCATTTCTGCTCGATAAATTCTGAAAGTTTAACAAGTTAGTTGAGTCGTTGACTTCTGTATTAGCAATTTTTTCGATTAGCTTGTGGTCAAAGATCGGATTTTCAAGACAGCCTAAACGTTTTTCATAAATCAACACCCATAACCAGAGATGATTTGAGCTACTTGTTCATTATTGCAGATTCTGACGCTGTGACATGATCAGGAAATAAGAAATAACCGTGAAAATTTCAGGCTTTTATCTTTAAAGTTTGTGACACATTGTCAGTCAAACACAGCCTCAAATTTCAAAGCACGTAAAAACATGCTGCAAGTAGGCTGATGGGCAAGTTTTTAAAACGTTAGCAAAAGAAACTTTTTGATATATTTAGCTAAAATTTCACGAATATCTTTACGAATATCCGTACTTCATGCTACACAAATTCCAAGCAATTCAGAGATAGTGAAGCAGAAGTTGTTCTAATATTTGATGGATTGAGATGAAATGGATGCAAGGTGACTGTTCTTCGAGTAAATGGGTGTCTCTTGGGCTGAAATGGTGAATTTGTTGCTTATGTATGTTACTGTTGGAAAAGCTGAAATTTTAACTTGCGTACCAATTTCAGTTTGGTCACTGATGCCATTCTGACCTCTCTGTGATCTAGGTCCACATTATAACCAATCAGCCAGTGGAGCTGAGGTCAAAGTTCAAAAGAGGGACGTCTCTGCGCCGTTCGTCTTATGCCATCTCCCAGGACGCTGGGTCCGGAAGAATCGTCACCACAAGGACCAGCTTCCACAGCACAGTACTACCAGGGCATGAGAAGGTGACTGCAAGTGGTACCGACCAACTAGGCCAATTATGATGCCCTCATGTTGCAGGAATACTGACTAATTATTGTTATTTTTATATTGGAAAAGAAGTGATCATATTTAGTGTTCCTGCAACATCGAGTTAAAAAGTTACGCGTTTACATTTCTGTCTTTCTAAACATGTTTTTGAGGGTAATTATGAGTGGAGCCCACATGTTACTGTATGGCTGTTTTCAAATAAAGTAAACTATATAACCCGCAAAATACGCAGCGTGCCCTGAATCTTGTTTATGACCTTTACATCGATGGTTTACTTCTGTGTGAATACCTCTGATCTTTGTTGTCAGACCGTTGTGGTAAAAATCAAATTTCCATCTGCCGAGGTCACGGGGGATTTCCTTTGAAGATCAAACCAAACACAATGAACCAGCAGCATCGCTTTGTTTTACAATTGTTTTATTTGTTAATTTATTTCAAAACACGCAATTTACCCATATTATCCTTTTAAGTTTTTATTTTTCTGTAACAGTTATTACTCAGATTTTTTTCCTTCTCAAAAGTCTCAACTAGAGTGAAACTAAAAGTCCTCCACAGGCTCTCCGGCTTCTGCAGTGGGAGGAGGGAAAAGAGGCTTTCCGATCAGACGTGAGTGGGTTATTCACTCGTTTCTGCGTGGATGAAGATGTGTGTGTGTGAAAGGTTTACACCAAGGTATGTGTATGTACATGTTTGTAAGTGCAATACGTGGAATGTCCACATGGCCGGTAAAATCACAGGACCCGTAGAGCAGCCCAGAGAGCTGAACATTGTCTTCTAGGTTTGGCAGCCAGATTGTCGTACCTCTGATTTCATCTTTGGTTTCAGCAAACACTCTCAAAAGGCAGACTCACCCTCTCCAGCATGTGCCTGTGTCTGTTTGTGTGTCTGTCTGTCTGTCCAAGTGCAATATAAGCCACCGTCTCCAGACGACTTTGTAAACTTAAGTAAGTACAATGTAAGTGTCTTTGCATTGATTGTGGCCCTTCCTTGGCGCTGGGGACAAAGACAGTCAAACATTGTAGAACAATGGAGCCATGAGCGGGGAGGATCAGCTTGCAAACACCAGCATGGACTCCATTTTGATGTCAGTGGCAGTTTGGGGCATTCATGTAAAGCTATGTGACATCAGTCTTGGTGAAACATGGGGCGCTGTAGTGCTCTTCTCTCCCCCGGCCACTCTCTACCAAATACCCTGAGTGGCCGGGGTTGCTCTGCCCGCACTGGGCTCGTGGGATGGGGCGGCGAGCGAGGGGGGCCAATAAGAGGTCATGGAGGTCATAGTGTGAGCGTTTAGATGTCAGAGGGAGGCAGGGAGGGAGGGAGGGGGTGGGATTGAGGGTTATTCACTCTGACCCAGCAGCAACGATTAAGATTGGGGGGGTCAGGTGTTTGCATAGTTCTCTGTGCAAAAGCCACCAACCGGAGCCATTTTTATTCCTCGCGGCTGGTTACATCATCATTAGATTAGCAGGATATTGTGGTGGGTGATGGGAAATATGGTCTTTGCACCACAGCTCTTTGTTCTTGTTTCTCCTCCTGCATTGCACTACATAGTAGCAGGAAGTGAGGCAGAGTGGAAAGTGACGGGGGGGATGAGGGGGTGAATTTAAAATGTTCGGTTCGTCGCGTGGAGCTCGAATGCTGCAGATTCGGCTGAGACGGGATGAACGTATTCTGAGCGAGCGGGGCAGTCGTTTGGCAGTCGGGCACTACAGCTTGTCACGATCCAGAGAGCCTCTTTTCCCGTGATTTTGTTCTTCCGTCCTCCCCTATCCTCCTCCCCACTGGCCTGCCCTCTCTCTACCTTTTTTCTTGTTTTGAAACTGATTGTCTTCTACCATCACAAAGACACTTGGTTCTGATTGATTAACAGGTAACAGAAGAGGGAGAGCACAGTGTGACTGGGGGTGTCTACATCAGTCCCATTGGCAACCTATTCGAGCCCGCAGTGAAATGACACACACATATGCTGTTTGACAGTAAATGCTGACGACATTTCGGGTTTGGATGATCAGTTGCCAGATGGTACTGTGGTTGGTTGGTCGGTCAGTCAGTAAGAAATGGTTTCAAATTTTTGCATGACAAATATTGCAACCCATAGTAAAGGAACAGAAAATAGAAAACACTTTTCGTCTTCCACATAAGTACAAATGAACACATATACACAGATTGAAGAAAAGCATGTAGACAGACATACAGGTATATTCACGGCCGCTCAGGCCTGTGTGTGTCCCTCTGATTAACTCCAAGAAAACAGCCTGTCTTTGGAAAAGCAAGACACACTTTTCAGGACCCGAGTGAAGACCACAAGCTGAGGAATGAAAATTGAATGCTATTGATTGGGAGGAGAGGAGTTTGACCTCCCCCAGCACACACTGCCCCCTACTGTCTGGATTTATATACATCAAAGAAACATGGGGAAAGGGGAAGGGTTGCAACAACACATGCACACAACCAGTGAATCCAACAGTGACGGAAATTCTAAAAACAAGGACCCCTCCAACGCCTAAAACCCAAATCCTCCCACCCTTTTTTTTTTGTTTATTTTGATAACCAAAATATCCCCCACCCCTATCTCCACCCACTCCCAAGTCTTTCAATCCTCCTCCTCTCCCCACAAAATCACAGGTCATTCCTGTTGGTTTCTATACAGTTATACAATATCCATGCACAAAAGAAAAAAGCGCACCTTCTTTTCAATAGGAGGTGCTGGTCTTTAATATTCTAAGAACATCAGGAGCACTTGAACACACCCAGGAACCTTCAAAAGTAACTGTGAAACTGTTTTTTGTTATTTTTTTTTTCAGAGAAAAGACAACTTAAAGACAGAAGAAAGCTAACAATGGATATAAGGTTATTCCTCCTTTGGTTTAACATCAAATTTTTGGTTTATAATTCAGCCCAAATCATATTTTTGTCATTTCTTTCTCTCTTTTTTTTTGTTGTTTTTTGTTTTTTCTTTGAATGTACCCGCCTGTGAGAGAGCTTTGAACTAAACATCTAAGGTGAATAGCTCTGACCCCTCTCCTGCTATTCTCTTCTGTCTCTTCTTTTCTCGTGTAACCCTCCACAGAAACATTCACAATGTCTTTTTCCTTTATGAAAAACAGTAAGTACATGCCGTAGCAAAAACAAACGAAGAGAACGTACGAGAAAAATAAGCAAACAAATAAAAGGAATTTAACAGTATAAAGCTTCAAGTCACAAGTTCCAAAACTAACTATCATAGTATCATAGTTTCATAATCATTGTTATCATTAGCAGTATTATTTTCAGTTTAAATTACATAAAGTTTACATGAAAGGTTTTTGAGGTATTTCAGAATTAATTGTCAACACACGCCTACCAAGTCTTAGCACTAGCCAGGGGGAAAGGTTGACTGGACAGACAAGGTGGAGGGAGGAGAGAGAGTTTGTGTCTATAAACTGTCAGTGAGTCTTCCACACTTTTCTAGTGCAGCCTCTGTGCTTGCACGCAGTGGAGAGAGAGAGAGAGAGAGAGAGAGAGAGAGACATTTCGTGGTAAGATTTTTTTTTTTTCTTTTCTTTTTTTTTGTTACAACTACAGCCCTCTAAGTGCTTAGAGCCACAGCCTTTTTACCCCCCTCTTTCTCTGTTACACAAAAATATCTCTGATGCGAGAAAGGTAAAGCGGCTGAGGGTTATAAGCACACCGGGCAGAGAGCGAAAAAAGAAAAACAACAAAGGCTGAAAGCTAGTAGAAGATCAACGATACAGTAACAAAGACTCTGACAGAGTAAGGAGTAACATATAATTTTGTTTCAAATAAATAGTGTATAGAAAATGTTTTATAGACTTTCTACATGATAAAGTGCTTGTATTCTAGTGTATCAAGATGGAAAGTCAATATGGGAGAAAATGCTGACACAGCCCCCACTCTGTGTCCCTCTCTTTGGCCCCCCTTTCTGTCCATCCAATTATGGGTGCTTTGTCTGTGTGAGTGCATGTTTTGTAAATGGGTGTGCAGCTCTATGCATGCATCTGCATGGCTGGGTGTGTGTCTGTGTGTGTCAGTGTTTGTGTGTCCAGTGCAGTCCCACCCGTGGTTGAAGGGAAAAGGCACTCAACTCTGTCTGCAAGGCAGCCACCTCCTCCTATGTGGCACGATGCAGTCTGACTGCGCTGTTAGTTACGAACATTGTGTGTGGTGTGTGTGTGTGTCTTTGTGTGTGTGTTATTATCAGTTTTGGGCAAAGAGGGGGGGCTCTTATTTTTGGTTTGTGTCCCCCTAGGCAGTTTGTGACTGGTAGGCTGCAGTATCTTTGGTATTAGTGGCGGTTTCACAAACCACTCAGCTTAGTGAGGTAGCCACATTGGTTCTCACTACAAACAAATGTCATTTTGTCAGCTTTAATACCTAGAGCTGAATCTAGCTATTTACTTATGCTCACTGAACTGTATACCACAAGTCAATTGAAGCTCATCTTCCTTTGGCGACTTGAACTCACTGCTTACAGCAACGTGAGGTCCGTCGGTACCTCCTGATCAACTCCTCTACAATGACCATCGCTTATCTAATCTGCACCGCTAATCTGACTACATTGTTGGAAATGCTACAGTTGCATCTTAAGACCATACAGATAACTATTGAGTCCCAAGCTTTAACACCCACCCCACCACCCCACCCCACCCTCCAATAAAACATACTGAGTCAGCCAGGACATTTGGAGGTCATGTTTTGTCCCCCTTCCGTTTTACCCCATTTCTTGGGGCTCAGCTTAAAGGGGGCTGAGAGTACCACAGTTCTGACATGAAATGCCAAAAGAGAGAAAGCGTCCGTCATTTATTCTTCTTTTCAGCAGCTCCCTGTTTCTCTTTTTTGTTTTTTTCTTTCTCTTTCTCGTGGTAAATGTCTCCTCCGAGTCTATATTCACACAGAATGCAGAAAAATACATCCTTCATTGGCCTCAGTCCTTGCATCCCTCTTTTTTTTTTTCCTTTTAAAAAGTCCTTCCTTTTTTTGTTTTTGATTTATCAACAAGGTGCCTTACTTATGCACAACAGAGCACAATAGTAACAAGAAATAGAAACTTTGTGTCTATGGTACTAATTAAATACCCGCATCAATATAGAGAGGAAAAGAGAAGGAGGGGGTGGGGGTGGGCAGTGGGGTTAGAGGGACAGAGGAGGTAGAGAACCAAAGATAGAATGAGAGATTTTTCTTCTGCTTCAAAATGTGTCCAGTTATGTGTTTGGAGACATTTTTCTTTCTTTTATTTTCCCCCGTTGTTTTTGTAACACATACTGTGTGTGTGGTATCTTTGTCATTTGAGGTTTTGGTTATTGTACGGCCTTAAAATCTGATTCTTTTTTTTATTTTTTTACTAAAAAAGTATATTTTAATTCAGTTAAAAGCTGATTGTTGGTTGCTATGGCACACACCGCCCGTCGTCAGTGGGGCGCACTGTAGCTGTGTGTTAACCCTAGTACCATATTCTCTGACTCGCATTAAGGCAGTAAGCATTGGCACTAATTGTTGTAGCATTTGAACAGCTGAGTGTGGTGGTTAGCTTTGGGTTAGCTACTGATAACCCTTGTGTGGGAATAACCAGGAGATTTGCTTTGAATCACATCTGTTGAGAGAGATTTCTTTTTTTTTTTTTTTGCAAACAGATGAAATGGATGAATGGAAAAAATGATTTGACAAAATACGAAGCCTCCCAAAAACAAATTAAACCTCCACTGCACCTCAGACGTGTCTGTCTCAGTATGCCTTTCTGTTACATTTTACTCTGTTGTACTTTTCTCTCCCCTCTTTGTGTAAAATTTATTTTTTTCTTCCTTTTCTTGATTCTTGTCAGATTTGGATTGCCTAAATAAATCCCTGCCTTTGCTAAATCCCTGCATTTTCAGCATTTCAGTTTAACCATCCCCCTCCTCCGGCTTCACCAGTGCTGGTTGGATGAGGAACAACAATAGGATAATGGTTATCTATTGATCTGCCTTCAAAGAGCTGTGAGGGCCTGAATGTGTTGTGCCATGACTTCTCCTCAGCATCTAGTGGCTCTTCCCTCCCTCTCCTCCACTCTGAACCCCCCCTTGCTCTGCTGGATACAGGTCTTTGCTTTCAGCAGCAGGGGGCACTGTTGCTCTGCCAGCTCAGGCAGCACTGGGGACAGAGAGGTGTGCTGCTGCTGCTGTAGCTGCTGCTGCTGTAGCTGCTGCTGCTGCTGCTGTACTGAGGCCTTTGTGTCCCCATCTTCACCGGGTTCCATGTGCTCCTCTTACATTCTGCTTTTCGTATGCAGCTGTAATGTAGTTGGCTGGATGCCCGAGCGTGTTGTTGTCATCGTTTGGTTCTCAGTTATTGATTAGAGAAAAAGCTCCCAGCAGAACAAAGAGCATGTCCAGACATCTCACCCGCCTCTCCTGTTGGTCAGAGAAACACAGACTCTAGGCTCAGGCTAAGAGTAACAATGACATGTCTCCCTACAGGCCTCCAACATCTGTGCAAAAAATATAGACCTGGGCCTGGAAGACCTGAGTATCTACTGCCGAGCGTCTTGAGTTTCACCTTCAGGAGGGGTCAAGGCCCCGCTCTCTCTGTCTGCATCGATTCATTTTTCAATTCATTAGTTTGCCGTATGATCAGGCTGAGCTGCTCTCTGAAATGGCTGGCCATCAGGGAATACCTTTGGCTGAGGAATGAAGGAGACTACAGGAGGAGGGGGAGGCAGAGGCGGAGAATTGGAAAGCCTTGTTGTTTTTTTCATAGGCTGCGTTGTTTTCTTTATGACGGCCTTGTGTGTGTGCAGGATGGGGCTCTGATAATAAGGCTATGTGCTGTTCTGTTGTCAGATTTATTGCCGTTCTTTCGCCCTTGTTGCTTCCGTGTGCCGGCGTAGAGGGGATGTGGGAGAGAGTAAGGAGGCAGACACAAAGGAGGTGAGTTGAGAGAGAGAAAAAAAAGCAGATTCAGTGGCTACTTGGATGGTTGAAGGAGGAGGCCGGCATAATGCAAATACCGTCCAACAAAAACATCAAATCTTTGGTGTCTCTTTACTTTGTCAGATGCCATAAAAATGATTTTCTTTCAAAAAAGACAGAATCAATGATTGTCCTTATGTGAGTAATGCAGAGTGGACCTGACTTCACGATTCACCTTTTAGATTATGCTTGTTTCAGGTGAGAGCTTGAAATTTTGACTGACAAAAAAGATGATTGCATGGCACAAAGGATTTTTTTTTTTTTCTAGGGGCAGAGGACACATTCAGGCGGTCCAGGCCAGGTAGGGTTGTTTAAAAACAGGTTTCACAGCCAATTTCCCATGTCGCCTGTTGTTCCAACCTGGTTCCCCCAGCCCTCTGAAGGCCCTCTCCTTCTCTCAGGCCTTGGAGAAGGTGGTGGCGGATGTGCCCGGCTGCCCGGGGCTGGTACCATGGTCATCGTGCCAGCGGTCCACACAGCGGCGGCGTGCGTTCATGAAGAAGTTGCTGACGGTGCTGAGCTCCAAGCCGAGCTGCTGAGAGATGGTGATCTGCATTTCCTTGGATGGACGCTTGTTCTCCTTGAAGATGGCGATGAGTGTGCGGCGCTGCAGGTCAGTGAAGACTAGACGTTGTTTCTTGGGCGCCGTGTTGCGGTCCTTGTGTTGCTCCTGTTCTTTGCGCTTGCAGGCTTGGTATGGATGGCAGCGGTGGGAGGGATGGGGATGAGAGTGGGAGGCAAAGAGGGGAAAGAGAACACAAAGCAAGGTAAATATACAAAAGTGATTACATTTGTGACTGAATAGCAAAAACTGTGGAGGTGGAGGGAAGTACAGTGGCTGAACATCTTATTAGCCACTGCTTAAACACATAAAAACTAGCTTATACACCAGCAGAGATGCTACAGCTCCATCTCTATTGCCATATTAAAGTTGATTTAAAGCTAATCCATGCCTCCTGCCCAGTGGGAATATTCCTTCCATCCTGCAGAGTGCAGACAGGGAGCCAGCCTGCGGTGAGAGAAAGATGGGGGTGGAGGGGTGGTGTTGGTGGTGGTGGTGGTGGTAGTGGAGGTGGTGGTGGTGGTGGGGTGGGACTGGCTGTTGCCTGCTAGCTGGAGACACTGCTGTTTGATTCAATATTAATGCAGTTTGAGTCGCAATGGGGGACTGAGTGACTGTTGCACAAAAGTAAGCATTTTGTGTTGGAGTGTGTGTCTGTGTGCGTGGAAATGAGAGACAGAGGAGGGGCCGACGCAGGGAAAAAGAATAGGTCGGAGGAGAGAAAAGGCGCAGGAGTAAGACAAAGTGTGTGCGTTTTGTGTGTGCGCACAAGAACTAAAGAGAGGAGCCGAGCAGAGGAGAGGAGGGAGGGGCGGCGAGTGAAGGAGAAAGCGAGATATTGACCGACTTTGCTGTAGGAATTGGGGGGTTCTCTGTAGGGACTGAGGTCAGAATCCCCCCCCAGCAGGTCTACAGTCTGCTACTTCAAACAGAGCCCACTGGAGCCCACTCTATTGAGCTCTGAGAGGGTATTTATAACCCCCCCACCACCACCACCACCACCTCCACCACCTCACCTCCTCCCCCCCCCCCCCCCCAAAACACAAACACTGGAGAGAGGTGCTTGCACTGGCTGCTATGAGCCCCTTCCCATACACAGAGCAACTTTCAAAAGAAAACACACCGAGTGTACTCTTCTTTTTTTTTTTTTTTTTTTTTTTTTTTTTTCTTCTTTCATACATTTGGGAGGGTGTCCGAGGGGGTGATGGGGTTGTAAGCAGCCAGCGCAGGAATTAATAGTTAATAGAATGCTGTATTGTGGGTAAGTGTGTTGTAACTCAAAAGTATTTGTAGGAGACGTGTGGAAAGCAGCAGACATGTGGAGGGTAAAAGGCAGAAACGGCGCCCTGAGAGAGGGTGTAGGAGGAGTTGTATGTACTGTATGTGTGTGTGTGTGTGTGTGTGTCTTTGTGTGTGTGTGTGTGTGTGTGTGGAAGGTTAAGGCACCACCTCTGCAGCCACATGTTCCCCTGCTGACTGAGGATCGAATCCTGCCAGACCGGACTGTGTGTCCCTCTCAGCTTCCCTACTGTCTCAATAAAACGAGAGCAAATTGGAGAAAGAGAAAGAGAAAGATGCCATCCCTGTGGGGTCTCCACCTGCTGCCGTTGGTATTGTCTGATACTTTCATACTCGCCTTCAGTAATGTCTCACTCTCACGCTGGGTATGTGTGTGTGTGTGTCTTGATGCATTTAAGGACACTTTTTTTTTTTTTTTTTGCCACCTCTAATGTTTTACTTGTGTGTGTGTGGTGTGTGTATTAGTGTGTGTTTGTGGGGAGGTTGTGATTATGCTGAAGTGGCTGGAGCCAAGCAGTGGCGCTGTGTGTCTAATTACAGTGGAACAGAGCCCATTGATCAGCCATTGCAGTCCAATCTGTTTACTACAGACGTCTAACCTGCACACTTGCGCATCCATCATATTCATATTTCACATTAACACCGCCGCTATGTTTATCACGCAAACGCACAAACGCTAATATGCCTCTGCAAATTTGTCCAAACGCACGCTTTGTGCGTACAGCGTGTATATCATCGTATATAACGCTTTGATTTATTGTAGGTTTAAGGGTAGTAATGGTGATGAGGAAAGAGGAGGAGGAGGAGGAAGCTGTAATTTTATGGTTTGCAGTTTCGCTCAAATTATTTACAATGAGTCAGATGCTGTAGGTTGAGCAGAACGCATGATTCAAGGTGTGAGAAGGCTTTTTCACAAGTCTCGATAATCACCAATATTACAACATCTTGCGGTTATTGTGTTTTTTCTTTAATTACGTTGCTCCAAACACAATTAAAAAAACCCCAACACTCATGTCCTCTGTTGACATTTAGCTGCAACTGCAGGCCAACCTAAATAACACCGGCTAATTCCAGGGGCAAACACTGGCAGCACAGCTTATATCATGGATTTATTAGCAAATTGATTTATTTGTAATTCATCAATATGACAAGAATCCCTGATCTGCTTTGATTACGTGTTTGTAATTAGTTTTTTATAAATGAAGCTCATCGTTTGTGACTTGCAGGCGTCCGTTTTTGAGAAATGCTTGTATGAAACTTACACCCGTCTGACTTTTTCATATAAATTTCTCAAATATTGTCACAGATAAATCATCGTTTGAGCATCACAGCTGCAATAACAAAGATTGTTTGATTTTTGAACGCTGTGAGGGTCTTGCACTGCACATTATTGTGGAGAACTGATCTACTCCTGTCTGCCCACCAGAGACATGGAAGCCCCTCCGGATTGAACATGTGTGGAAGAGGATTCGTGTCCCAGCAGGACAATAAGCCTAAACATGCATCGGAGCTCTGCGAGGCCTGTTTGAAGTCCGAGGAGGATCTGATGCTCACACGTGTGACACGTCTGTTTCTCCACAGCCACCGGACCTCAATGAACGAGGAGGATGGAGAAGCTGGAAGTCTGCGGGGCGCTCGAGAAGAGGACGGAAGTAATGTGGATTCTAAATGATTATTGTCAGCAGCTGACTTTTCTAAAACAAGCTCCTTTTCTATAGTTTAACATTTGCATATGACATTTCTGGCTCTACTTTTGGCTTTTAAAACTAACACATGATATCAAATATAGCTTGATTACTGTTTTTGTTATATTAGACTCTGCTTTAAGATCAGCTTCCTCAGTTTTCACAATATGGTTAATATAGATTTTCTTTTTTTTTCATTTATTTGGAGCAGCTTCCAGTTGAGACCTGAGCACCTGTACTTCTTCCTGGTGTGTGACCTTGCAGAGGTATGCATAACAACACACACATGCACACTTACACAACCTCGGGGCCGGTGTCTCAAAATGCACAGTCTTAATAATTCATATTTAGAGTGAAAAGCAGCAGCATTTTACTTAGTTTTTATCTTCTTCCTTTTTACGGAATAAAACATTTTACTTTGCGCGGATGGTCTCCTTTTCCACACCGAGTGTTTACAGACAGTAAAATCGACGTGGATCTATGTAGTTACAGAATGAGTGTTCTTCCAAAATCTATGAATGGATTTGGTTTTAATTGGTCCACATACATGCGGCTTGGGAAACTAACTGCACATCTGTATTTTTAATTCCAATTACATTCTTTTTTTTCCACCTAAAACCTCAAAAGTACAATTAAAGACAGTAAAATCTGCACAGCTTCAGTGTAAATTTGTCCAACAAGCGCAGACAGGAGTCAGGCTGAGGAGGGTTTCTGTCTTAATGTGCCTCCACAACAAGCTGACACAGTCCTCCAGCTCCTCTCCACATCTTTCCACCGGATAGTCACGTCCTGCTACCTCCCCCCCCCCCTCATCGACCGCTTGCTTTGTGCCGTTTCGGTCGGCAGGTGTCGCTCTCGTCGTGGCCCGGCTGCACGGGGCGCCATAGTGCGCTGCCTTTGCTACAGGCGCTGGATTTAGTAATCAATATCGATCGATCGGTGAGGAAGGGGGCCCTGATTACTGAACCAAGCTCGGCGTAGAAAAGAAAAAAAATCGATCATTGCAGCTTTTAGAGCTACAGTAGGCACCGAGCAGAGAGACGGACATAAACTCATGCACAAAGAGCAACCGGACAAGAGCAGAAATCCCGGTTTGGCGCTGAGTGTTTTCTGAGGTGTGCGCCCTGCTGATCGCCTATAGCCTACGGGCGGAGAGAAATGTGATTTCTATAACTCGCCACAATAGAGCTCCTCATCCAACATACAAAGGCTGATTAACAAAACCACGTCCCTCCTGTGTTCCAGGGGTGTTTTTTTTTTTGTAATCTACTGTTTAGCACATTATTCTAATATTTATTTCCCATAAATAGAACCACAAAGCCCAAATAATCCTCATGAATATCAAATCCAAACATTTAAAATTCCTTCATGAGTGATTTTCCACAACTTGTGCGCGGGTGAAAACGGCGCAACTTAGGCCCATTTCTTCTCCACTGATGACATTAATATTCTTTGCTTCACGACAAACCAAGCGAGGTTAAGAGAAAGGCCCTGGGTGTTCAATATCGATCGATAGATTCGTGAATAATTCGTGTGTGAAATTCAGTTCGTCCAATTAATTATGCCTCGGAGGGGGGGAGTGGGCCTGGAGAGGAGATTCATGAAGGGGGCTGCATGGAGACGCGAGAAACGCACCGGTGCAGGAGGCTGTGATGATCCAGCTTTTCTTTTTCTTTTTCTTTTTTTTTTTGCTGTGAATATGAGAGAGGAGGGAAATACAGTAAATCATCATCACCTGTTTGTTTCATCGGTGTGCGTTTTTTTTTTCTCTCTTCCTTTCTATATTTAGCTATATGATGCTGAATATTCACAGCTGTCTGCGGTGCGGGGCCTCCTCTCTCCCTGCAGATGTGAGTCCATCTTGAGCATTAATCATTTATTGATCATCACTGCCCTTCCTGCTCATAATGAGAAAGTCAAACCGCCTAATATTGTGCCTATAGTGTTTTATGAAACCATGATTACGCATCTGCATAAAGAAGCAGGTTTCCAAACCCTCCTCCTCCTCCTCCTCTCTGTGTGCGCGGGTTGGAATCCGATCCTGTTTGTGATCCCTGCAAAGCAAACGAGGTCAACATAGTCTGCTGATTTAATTAATTTACCAATAAACATGTTTACCGGTTACGGTTCGGTGCGTTTATACA